GTTCATCTGGACGTAGCGTTTTCAGTGGGAGAAACGTTTCGTCACTCATTAAAATGACTTCTTCAGACTTCAGCTGTTGATCAGTGGTCATGAGAATTTGCATAATCATGATGAAGGAACTGACCTCCCAGCCCATTGTTCCTTCAGTGGTGCTGGTTTCAGTCATTATGCAAATGTACTGTCAATAATATTGGGGAAACCTGCAGTCAGGTGAGACTGAAGAAGTCTTGATGAGTGATGAAACGTTTCTCTCGCTGAAAACGCTACAACCAGATGAACAGAATCAACCTTCATGTTCAAACATTGCTGCAGTTTCAATGTATGAAAAAAATGCCATTTAAGTAGGTGCACGAGTCATTTTTCAAAAATATGTATGTTGAAAAGTATTTTAGTTATAAAACAAAATTTTGACTGCAATAATTATAGCTGCTCAAATTTTGTATCATAAAAATTTTATTCAAATCAGTGACAATCAAGCAGAAAAGATTCTACAAATTGTCCAATTTGAGATGGAATGACTTACAGTAGTTATTTTTCGGTTAACATGTAAATAATTCCATGTAATATCTTACTTATTTCCACATATGTAGTTATGAAACCTTTTACATGTTTGAATTTGAGGGTTTCTGCTAGTGTCAAGTGTTTTTCATACCCCGATATTTGAGGATTGAATCGAGGGTTGAGCACAGCAGGCAGACAGAACCTTAGACCATCATCAGCCTGCACAGCCAGCTCAGTCACGTACTCCAACCTGATGGAGGCGCTCTCTCCTGGAGGCAGACTGCCGACACTCAGAGAGAATATATCTGGACTCTGATCACTCTCCTCCAATAGGAAGGCCCGCTGACCAAAGCTCAGAGCATCATCATACTCCTCACGAGCCTGAAGGACAGGTGGCACATGTCAGTGACATTCACTGTGTTTATAAGTAAGATTAAAAATAACAATAATCAGGTTATATTTACTGTCCAGCTCACCTTCTGTTTCTCCTTCACCTCAGCTACAATCTGTGTCTGTCCGATCTTAGCATTGAAATGACAGACAGCAGCGTCTCCAGGCAGAGGGAAGACAACAACAGCCTCTAATGGTTTGTTCTTCTTGTTCTCGTAGTTCAGGGTGGAGACCACTGTAGCCACATGGTCCCTCACCTCCAGCTCCACCTCAATGCTCTTCAGAGGAACTGACAGTAATACAGAATCACCATGAATACATAAACTAAACATGTTTTACAAAGAGTTGACTCGTGGATTATTTCTTCTTTTTACAAGGAAATTCTACCTGTTTACCAAGCTGATACTTTAAAAAAATAAACTCAATCCAAGATTATTTACAATACAGAACATGAGGACTGGTATAATGTTGTTAAGACCGCTTTCATCCTTCATGGATTTTTGAGTTGAATCATAACTTTGACTGTGTTAACTATATAAGACACTTTCTTTAATGTTTATTCTGGAAGTTACATTTAATTTAAACAGACTTTCATTTGACTATTCAATAGTAATATTATTCAAACTGAATTAACATGAAAGACTAGATTTTTGTAGTTCTGAGTTTTTATACTTTAATTTTTCTTTTTTTTTAAGAACTACACAACGACAAACACGAAATGTATGACATTGCAGACTGTATTTCTGCTATTTGTCCCTCTTTTCAAATACTGTGTTTAATTAGATATTATCTCTATCACAAACAATATTTGAAGCAAGATATTATGTGCCATTATAACCAGTAACCAGTTACATTAAAATATTACAAAATCCAAAAGTGGTCAGAGAGAAAACAGAAGTCTCTTTGAATCAGTTCCTCGTTCCTTTTAGAGAGTTAGCAGACTGGAGAAGTTCATCCTTGTACCTGTGAACCAAGAACATTATTTTAATGCTAATAGGAACATCTTAATAGTTAGTTAAATTTTAATTGCATTATTAATTTGATTACTTATGCACAGTTTTCCAGTCATACAGTTTTTTTTATAGTGAGGTGTTTTCATTTTGTTTTCTTGTTTCTTTTCCTAAGGGAATGGTTTGAAAATCACTTGTCAGCATTGTCAGCTAACAGTGAATACTCTTGGTATTATAGTAGATATTTAGTTAGGCTTAAGATGTCTGTGTTTGAAAGCAGACAGGCAGCATAAATAGTGCTTTAAACTGGTCCAATTTATGTTGTGAAATTGTTACATGGTGGAGGAATGTGTTTTTCTTATGTGTATGTGTGGTGGGTGAGGTGGGCGGAATCGTCACCGCATACCACTGTTTTGATGACAGGTAACAGCTAGCCTGAAGCACCTTCCGGTTTAGTTCTTCCTGTTGTTTGCAACATCGAATTAAAAATAAAGAGCAACACCCCAACCACCACCCCCCCAACACACACACACACACAGATGTCTCTCTGTAAATGCGGTTGTCTGTTGCAGCACAACCACATTTCTTTATATTACGATAAAAACATATAAACAAAATTAATAAAGAATTTCAATGTGACAGCATCCAGGTTGCTATCCTTAGTTTTAAGGTTTTCGTGTCAGTGTGCAGTAATGTGTTGCTGAGCAGCAACTGATCAGGCTGCTTAAATAAATGCACGGTAGGAGCTTACCTCTAAAGCCCGACATGTGTGTCAGATGTCAGATGGTTTACTGCCGTCCCCGTTTGTAAATATTAAAGGCCAAAGTGTTCACACAGCACAGACTCAACTGATATGTCACCTCTATCTGATATTCTCCACTTACTTGTTGTGATGTGGGTGGAGCTTTTTTCGCAGCCTTAGCTCTGAGAACACAGTCATCAGGACCTGAACCCTGCGTTTAAAAGTCTTGGTACAGAAGACTGTAGGGTGGCTACAGAGGGAAACCTGGGAAAATGTTCTTATAGTCTTTATGTGTTAAACAAGTAACAAAGTATGAATTTCATCACCAGAAAGGGGGAGAGAAAAGTAAGGAACAGTCTTTCTGAAAGAGCTGCTACAGTAGCTGTCTTTACTTTATCAATGTTATGAGAACAATTCTGATTTATCTATTTATTTGTTTACAACGGTAAACACAAATTTCAAATACCAATGTACAATACAAATATATAACAATTCTAATTATATAATTAAAACAAATGATATCGCACACATAATGTTGTCTGGTCTTTCCATACATTTTTATACATCATGTGTTTGTATTCAAATTTTGCTATATTATCATTATTATTATTATTATAACAATATCTCAAATTATCAGTTTTTGATTTTATTTATTAAGATGAACAAGTCACCTTTCCAGGCACTGATTTCTCCACCTCACTGCTGGTCTTACCCAGTGCAATAGCCAGAGGCGCATCAAGCAATCAGCAGCCAGACGCCTGCTGGAGGGAGATTAATGTCAGCAAAGGGCCTGTGGGTGGCTTCTTAGCTACAACAGGTAGAAAAAATTATTATTAAATATTTGGTGTATTTAAATATTTATAATATTTAATACCTACCAGATAAACCAGTGCATAAAAACCATTGTACAAAAAAATAACTGACACACACGCACAGCCTTCCCCTTTATTTTTTTCTACCTTCAGTGGCCCTATGCTACTATAGTAGCATATATCTAAAAGTTTAATGTTATTAAAAAATAAAGCAAAAATGCATTCAGATCACAATTCTGATTGCAAAGCTGCCAGACAGGATTTAAAAAATAAATAATGAAATAGAATAAAAGTCACAAATCAAGGTTTTACTTGCTGATTATTGATTTTTATTATTGTAAAAACAGAACTGCCATAATCCACCTGCATACAGTTTCTCTTGTTTAACTTCTCGATGTATTCATAGAATTACAGTACTTGTCAGTACGTGGAGATTTTGCACCGATAACTAATAACTGACTAAGTAAATAAAAAAATGCCGCAACTTGGACAGTAGTGGGAGATGTGTTTGTTGTTTGTTTTGGAGTGTCCCTTTCTCTGCACGACATTTTTGAACCAAAGTATTAAAATGAATCACAAAGGTGATATACTAAAATTAGTGGCAGACAACAACCATTCATCAGGTAAGCAGGCATGACTGTAATATCATTTGTATGTGACACGAACGCCACAAGAAAGGTAGTGTTATACCTGTTGCTCAGTCTGTGGCTTTTTGGCAGAGTCAGTGATCACAGTGTTGTCTTTAGTGTAGCCATTGCCCTTGTTGTTAGGTTTCAAAAATGACAGTTTAGTTGGTTAGTCATTAAAGAGACGCTCTCATGATTCATCGAGTGACACCTCTGACCAATCAATTTGTGGCACGCAGTCTGTTGATGTCACATTTTCTACTTGCATGGATCGCTTGGAACCCCGGCTGAGGAGGTACTAAAAAACTATCCACTACTATCACTTAATGGAAAAGGCTAAAAACAGAGTTGAGCCGTGCTGACCCAAATCAAGTAGGTACTATTGGAAAAGGGTTCATAAGAAATCCCTCAGAGTCCCAGAGCTTCTTTCATCACGCTGCAACCCAACAGTAAATTTGCAGCTTCCACACACTCTGTCACCCATGGTGCTGAAAACACAAAACAAAGAAAGACAGCTGAGTGTGGCATCAACCAGTGTTAAAAAGCACTTTAGCACTTTCATAAGGGTTACTACCATTCTGAGCACGGAGCCATGAGGCAGCCTTCATAGCCAGAAGATCCCACTCATTCTTTGAATCCATCTTTAAACCATGAAGCCAGATCAGAGCCAGAATGGTAGCCCAAATTTCCTTGTTGGCCTAATTCACCAAATCAAACAAAATCAAATGATATAGACAGAACACAATCCTTCACATGGAAAATGCTACCCAATGATTATGATCTTGTTTCCTACCACTTTGAAAACATAAATAATCTGAAAGAAGGCACTGAAATACTTTTTTGACTGATAATAAATATTTTTTGCTCCATTTGCTCACTTCAATGTAATTTGTTTATGTTATAGTTGTATCCATCTTTATGTTATGCTCATCTGAAGTAGGTCATAGTGGCAGCAGACTAATCCATATATTTTCCAGTTCCTTCTGGGAGATCCAAGTGCATTCCAGGACCAGACAAGGAATATAATTTCTCCAGCAGATTCCTGGGGTCTCTTCCCTTTTGGTCATGCTCTAAATATTCACAAAGGAAGGCGCCCAGGAAGCATCCTTACAGATGACTAAATTACCTCGACCTACTCTGTCTGAGATGGAGGAACAGCAGTTCTAGTTCAAGATTTGTCTACATGTCAGAGCTTCTCACCCCATCTATAAGACTGAGCCCTACAGAGCAAACTTAATTCAGCCGCGTGTGCAGTCATGACCTTATTCTATGGTCATTACACATATTTCATGATCATAGGTGAGGGCTGGGATGTAAATGGACTGGATAATTGAAAGATTCACGTTTTGGCTCACATTTCTCTTAACCACAAGAATCCAGGAAACATTCCACCACTTTCCAACAAAGAATCATGACTTCAGACTTGGAGGTGCTGACTCTCATACCAACCATTTCAAACTGTGACAAATTGCTCCAGTGGATACTGTCACAAGCTGGCCCATGGCAAATGACAGAGGGAAGACAAGACAGATTGTGTTGCTAATCATTACTTTATTCAAAAAAAGGAAATAACAAGCATGGGATATGAGAAGTGAAAAGTATCAGTGGTTGAATGGAATAGATGTGTGCTAATGTAACACAGAAGGTCACGCTCCAATGAAGCATACAGAACCACATATATCACTTAATTGCGACAGATTATGTTGGTTGATATATATATATATATATTATTTGCAAAAAAACCGATGTTATTCTGAGATTCCCAAAGCAGATGTCCGTCTTGAAATTTTAGAAAATGATCGAAAACAACAGGCAACCTTCCTGCTCCTCCTCCTGTTTGATGATTGGACGGAACATCTTTTCAAAATACCCTGAATTAAGTTTTCCTTGGGAGGCTAAGCAGCGTAATACCCCAATAATTTCTTATAATAATAATAAAATGAGAACCACCACCCTGGACTGCCACTCCACAGGCACTGTCCCAGATGAAACATTAAAAACGCATATAGGTAACCCTTCTTGCCTGCTTCTCAACAATCCTGGTGACCGTCTGGAAGAGTAACCAGTGAGACTTACCCCAACTGTTCAGGCTCTCCTTCCTTCATATGGAATGTTTTTCTTGGGTTTTAGAGTTCCTCAACATGCCTTTTCCTCCACGGGACAGCAGTTCTCCTCCCCAACTGGGCCAAACCCAGCTTTTCCCTCCTGAGTACTGAGATAGCTTGACAGACCTTCTTTGATGCCTGCCAAAAGTCCTCCTCCATAGCTTCTCTGAACTCATCCCACACCCAGGTTTTTGCTTGAAGTTCTGTTCAACTGTTGAAGCCACCCCATTTGGCCCCACAATACCTGCTTCGGGAGTATCCCTGGGCCAACCCAGTCTAGAAAGCGTACTCCTTAACCTTTACAGCCTCTCTCATTACTCTTGCATCCCGTGGGAGGTCCAAAACCTCCCTCTTTACCCATTTAGGTTTTCTACGACTGTCTAGCAGTCCTCCCTGCCATCTAGTCCGACTCACCATTAGGCGGTCAGTTGACAGCATTGCTGTGTGCAAGACATACTGCCTCTGATCAGATACAAAAACAAAATCAACCACTGACCTTTTGCTCTGGCACAAATTACACTTACAATCAACCTTACACTAAAACATATTGTTTGGTTGGCCAACCTGTACCTAGTACAGAAGTCCAATAACAAAACATCATTCTCATTTAGAGCAAACAGGCCATTCCCCCCAATCACTCCTTTCACAATGTCTCCAGGTACAGTCCCTTCCATGACGGCACCCAAAAACTTTGTGTTATATATGAACATTTTTAATTAGGTTTCATACTATGAAATCTTATATTATCACTTTATGTAATGATTTAAATTTACAGCAACCCACCAATACTGGCTTTGACTTCTCCACCTCCTCGTTCGTCTTTCCCAGTGCAGTAGGCAGAGCTGGATCAAGCAACCACTTGCCAGTTGCCTCCTGGAGGGAGACTAACTGCAGCAAAGGATCTCTGGTTTGCTGCTCAGACACAGAAGCTGAAAAACCAAAGATGAAACAAAAGCTGGACCTGATTATAATTATTCTACATGTGAAGACATAAAAAGTCTACAATATAAAGCAATCCATAAACCACCATAAACTTTGAAACATTTGTAATATATTTAAATGCCTCATTCAAGTTTTTGTTGACTATATTTTCATATTATTATTTTCTTTTTCCTAATCCACTAGCACACACTACACATACATGTGATGAGCCAACTACAAATGTCTGACATTCTGTAAATGATGGAAGCTGATAGTTTATTGGATTTATCTACTTACATCTAGCATTACCTTCAGACACAGATTTTAGAGCACCATCAGCCACCGTCTTACAAGATTTCCAAAAGTCACTTAGTATCTTCTTCATCTGAGTAAATACCCCTGTCTTGCTGTCAGACTTATTTCTAGGTTTGTAGCTACAAGCTGGTGAGAGAACAGATAAACAAAACCCTGATATAGATCAATTTACTGTTATTAAATGCATAATACATCGGATTTTGGTGTTTTGATACAAGCTTCCTTTAAAATGATGAACATTTGATTAAGTTCATTCCTCCACAATAAACAGAAATCCACATCCATGACCATGGGCAACAATGCCTGTCTAAAACAAGGCAAATAAAAGCCCTCCAATTCCACGTAATGTGGGGGTCTT